TATTGGAATTAAAATTTTATGCGAATCCAATTTTTATTCCCATTTTTAGAAAGCGCAAGTATGTATATGTTCGTGCCACAAAAATTATTTCATAAGTAGTTAATTTTAAACACAAATATGTATGTACACTGCAAAGTGAGTGCATCCTGTTTTTTGTTTAATATTTGCAATGTTTTTAAGTTAAACTTTTATGTTATTTTCGACGGGAATTGCGGTTTTATGCATATAGCAAGTGCAATTTGTAAAAAATAGCGCTAATTTTTTTTTATTTGTTTGCAAACGGTCATGCGCATTTTATTCTACAAGAAATTCACTTTTATTTGGTAAAAAGTGCAAAAAGCCGTCAGCAATAAATAATCATTAAAAATCAACCGGATTTTTTAGCCGCTTAAAACTTGATCTTGTTCCACTAGAATTAAAAAACCGATCTATCTGCGTACTCAAAATTTTTCTAAAAACTCAGATTAAACAGGTCAAAATTTAGACGAGAATTCGTTGAATATTTCTATGTTCTGTGTAAAGTTTGAAAGTTTGACTTGTATAGTTTTGATTAAAGCATGAACCACATTTTTATAAAAAGATAATAAAAAAAAATTAATTGAAAAACATTGCAAATATTAAGCAAAAAACACCTTGCACTCACTTTTGATTGCCAGTATATGTATGCATGTACATATGTGTGTAAACTTTATGCCAAACTATCATTATTTTAAATTGTATTTGCATCTTCATAAAAGGAGAACAAGATAAAAAATTTAACAAAAATTACTAATTAATGAAAATTATGTGAAGATTTACCATATTTTCGTTTATTTGCTCGCAAAGAACATCACATTTCATGTTGCTCAACATTGTATTATGTTATCAACATTAAATTCAACAGAATTTCTACATTCCGACTTGAACTTTTCTAACGCTGTTAATTTTTCGTCCGCGAATAGTTTCCACTTTCAGTTTGCACCTTTTCTATCTATCTAAAGTTCTGAACACATTGAAAACGACGAGGTACGGACCACAGCTTCCAATTTGTCATCTTCATTATCTAAACGCGTTGTCGATGGCGACATGCTTTTTTTGAACGCGGCAGCGACATCATGAATTTGTATGAGTTTGACATAAAAGAAGAGGAAGAACCTTATTTGTCGCCAGAAAAATAGAAATAGATCTAATCTGGCCACAACCACAACCGTCGCGTAGCCCGGTCGTCGCCAAAATAATTATCTACATAAGAGTACGTGTTAAAATAATTTGACAGCTGTGGTCCGTAGCTCGTCGTTTTCATTGTGTTCGGGCTATAAGTTCTCTGGTCCAAGCAAATCACTTAAACTGAAAGGTGTGCGCATGCGCGTAAATAAATGCACAAAAGCTATGAATTTTGAGTGTGAAATGGGTGGAGACTGGCGACACAAACATTGGCAATTGCCAATTGACACAAAAGTTAGGAATTTCATTTACAAAAAAATATGACTCAGGGTGAGCTGATGGACGGCAAAGTGGGCTGACTAGAGTTGCACATTTTTTATGCATTTCAATGTGAGGACTTGTGTGTTGTAAGCGTGTTGCTGACATGTGGGCTGACTGTTGGTAAAAAAGCGTGCGGCTGGCAAGAATTGTACTCGTAAAAATAGCGTAAATGAAGCGGTCACTTTGAAAATGCTTCCGAAAGAAATTAAAGTCACAAAAGCTTATTTATAGCAATTAAAAGTGGGCAAACATAAAACACACGCACACACACACAAAATTAAGATTAAGTTGCAAATTCGAATGTAAATTTTCGCAAACTGCAGCGCTTACTTCGGTGGGGTGGTGATGGCTTATGAGATAGTGACTTTATTGCCTCCTTTAATTGCAACGCAAAAGATTGACTTCAAATTTTTATTGCCGCCGACGAAAGATAGACGTTTTGTTGTATCAAACAGACAATTGATAATTAAGCGAATTGCGGTAAAATTTTATTTTTAGACTTCTGAAGAATTATTGGCTGTCGAATGTTTTACGCTTTCGTTAAGCAATGGTGGGCGCATGAAAAAGAAACTGCTTTTTGTTTCGCAAGTTTTTTAAGTGATTTTTTAATTTCGGTTCTTTTTTTAATTTGTCAATTTCTTGTTCTTAACCACTTAACACTGTGCTTAATTGTTCTGGTAAAATTAATCTGGCCTTGATTGCTATTTTTAACGCATAAGCAATTAATAGGCGATGAAAAAAATATCTCTCGAAAAAAGTAGAACCAATTTGTTTAGGTTGTCAGGTACGTGTACTTGTCGAACGAGTTGTTAAAGAAAGCGTAAATTTTACGTTACGCCAATCAGCAAATTTAAATAATGAATGACTTGCTCTATTGATACATCGAGCGCTAATGAGCTTTAAGTGCAAAGCGGGTAGTTAAATGAGCTTCGCTTCGATGCATGCATACTAGGGTGGTAAAAATAAAAATAAAGTGAACAAATATTTAAAGGTCACTCAAAACAAAAGGTCAAAAAAACAATTTATGGTAGAAATGGTATAGAATTCTTGAAAATAAATATTTTTCGTTTGGAAAACTCTGCTTTTCTTCGGTAGACCCCCAAAAATAATACCCTATGATTTATTTAAAAAAAAATTTTAATATCAACTATTTTTAATAGGTCCCAAAAAAAATCCAAAAAAATGCGATCGTTGGTATTAAAAAATTTTAAATTTTAAAAATTGGGTACTATTATTGGAAGTCTCCTGAAGAGAAACAGAGAAAAATATTGATGTTCAAGAATTCTATACCATTTCCACTAAAAATTGTTTTTCCCCATATAAAATACGTGAAAAACTTTGAGCGCTTTGAGCAATCTCTAAATATTATTTGATTTTTAGATATAAAATCAGGAATATATTTTTTTCAATATAGAACAATCCATTTCGGTGAGAGCATTAAAAATCGGACTTTGCTTTTTCACATGCACTTTTGGAACACCCTAATATATGATATACGTATGTAAATTAGGATGCGTCACTCTCCATAAAAATAAAAAAGCTGTACTATTTTTCCATCGGAAATATAAAACTTATTATATTTAAGACTTTCGCCAAAATATTTCGGAAAATATTAAGATTTGTGTGAGCTGGACCTATTTGAAAATATCGGCAAAAATCAATTTTTTTAATAAAAATTAGTTTTTAAAATTTTTTCTAAAAGACGTTAAGCTTAAAAGGTCTTCATAAATATGTTAAAAAATTTTAGCAATGTAAACAGCGACATTTTTGGAGGTAATCTTAATATTTTTTTGATATACATATTTTGGCAGAAGTCTTAAAATATAATAAATTTTATAAGCAAAGTTTTACGTTGTATATTTAGAACAAGTTACCTTCCATTAACCGGATACTCCAATGACCGGACGGAGCACTTATTTTTCAAGTTTTCTCGTGGTCTTCTCACAAGCAAACAAAAAATTAAACTTAGCAAAAATGGAAAGAAAAGAGAAACAAACCTCTCGTAATCGGACACGGCACAGTGGTGCGGATAACGTAAC